CTCCCATGGCCGTGTGGCAAGGTGGTTCTGCGTGTGCCCATRGGAGGCCGAGACCTGCCTGTGCCACCGAGGTGCTGCTGGCCCCGGGACACCCGCAGGCAGCCCAAGGTGCTCCGGGCTGTGGGAAGGACACTGCTCCCCGGTTCCTCCAGCACCCACTCCCAAGGTGGACGCTGGTGTCTTTGCAGTTAACTCACTGCTTGTGTTCGGCTGCTGCCTTGGCTCTGCCCAGCGTCCTGGCAGTGATCTCCCTGGGGCCACAGCAGCACCTGCAATCACCCCTTGGGGCATGCAGCGTTTTTGTAATTCTTGCATTCCGAGTGGAGCTTTTCCAGCTCTGAAGTATCAGAGATGTAGATATATTTACTTTGTTTTGATTAAAAAATACGTGATTTAAAAAGTACCACGCCGAGAAGATCCATTACCACCGTTGGTTCATGTGTCCAGAAGGGAGGGGCCAGTTTTGCATGATTGCCCTCGAAGTTGTCCCAGCTGCTCTGAATGTGCCACCCTGCCTCCTAAACTAGGCCCTGTCCTGTCAAGCATCTCCTTGGCCCTCCCCATCTCTGCACCGGAATGAGATGTGCATTGCTTTTACACTGAACTGCCATGAAAACCCAGTGAGGGCTTTTGGTTTGTGCCTTTCAGGGCTTCCCAGGTGAAGAGGGCCTGGAAGGGCCCCAGGGACCCCAAGGACCTTACGTGAGTATTGGCTCTTGCAAGGGGGTTTGGGTGCCAGGTCTATGGGGATGCCAGTGGCTGGAGCAAAGGCTTGAGGGAGCACCAGGGTGGGCTTCTGCCTCTTAGTGGCCATGGACAAAGCTCTTTGGCCACCGGGTCCCTCCTGGGCCTCTTAGCTCTTGATATCAAGTGYGTTCAGCTCTGCAGAACCCAGCTCTGCTAATGACCAAAGAAGAGAACCGTTTAAGGAGTGTTGACATTTCTAGATGTTTTATCCATCCATCCACCATCCATCCACCTTTGCAAAAGCTAAATGCTTCCCTTCCTAGTTACAGACTAGGTATATGCAGAAATGAAGTGCCTGCAGGAGATGCCTTGAGTGTGACCATGCTCATGTTCCCAGAGAATGGCCGTGGCCAAAGGGAAAAGTTGTCCTGCAGAATCTAGTAGAGGTTAAATAGTTTAATATATCTTTCTATACATATAGGTATCTAATTACTGTGTATTTTAAATCTGTTGTTTGAAAAATCTCAAATTTGGAAACTTCACCAACATCCAAAWTAGAAGCTAGGAGGTTCCAGAATCAGCCAGAGGGCCTGAACTGCATTTTTAGTAGGGGAGTATGGGGGAAAGAAAGGATCTTCCAAAGGGAAAAATCAAATATTTGGAGGCCCTGTCCTCCACACAGTGACACCTCTTCAGCAGTCTTGCACGGTGTGAGAAATTCAGCTCCGTGCTGCCATGGGGTGATGTGGATGATGCAGATTCTTCTCTCCTAGGGTGTTCCTGGGCTGAAAGGCTCGAAGGGAGACCCTGGCTCCAAAGGGCAGAAGGTAGGAGCTGTGCTACTGCAGGGGCACTGGCGCAGGGGGGACTTGGAGTGGAGGCTGGCACTACACTTGCTGGCTACGACCCAACCACCACAGCATCTTTTTTACGTGTTGCCCCAGTTTTCCCAGGCATTGAGAGAAGGGCACTTTATACTCTGGAGCTTTTCCCTCTGTCGGGTCTTTTTCCAGCCTGTCRGTGCCACAAGCAGCCCCCTGAGGCGGTGGTTTAATCCCTGCTCTCTGCATCGCTATTGACCCTGCAAATGCAGACACTTTCTCGTGCTACTTCCTGYGGAGATGATGGGTTCAGCCTTGGCACGGGAAGCCGAGTGTGTCCTCGTGGTCCCATCCATCAGGTGCAAGGATGTAAATAAGTGACGAGCAGTCCCCAGTGGCAGGCAGTTGCTCACAGCCTTCAGGAAAATGAAGCTCAGTAATAAATAAAGCTTTAAATCTGGTGCAAGCCAAATGAGCAATGGCAGAAGTTAAAGCCCAGGGGTTTCAGTGAGGCCAGATCTGCAGGAAGAGGCTGTTGGCTCCCTGCAGCGCTGATGGAGCCGCCTGAGGAACTGCCCATATTCACTGTGGCTGGGTTTCTTCCCCTGCTCCATGAAATTCTAGAAACTAAGGTGTTTTATTTTTGCTTTGTTTTGCTTTTCTTTTCCTCCAAGTATTTCCTAGGAACCTCTGCGTTACTGTTGAATCAKTTAACCTGGAGTAAAACTCTGGCTGTTTTGCCTTTTGCGCAGAGCAGGGACTCTGTCACCTGTCCCCCTTCCTGCTCRTTTCTTCCCGTTCCCTGTCCAAGCATCCAGGAGACATTTGGCCAAGATTGCCTTGTCCAGACAAATGTGTCTTGCCAGCTGGGCTGGTTGTCTGGGCAGTAGGAGACCAGAGAGGGTCTGCTGGGGGACATCTAGGTCCTTCCTTCCCTTGGGGGGATGGAAGGATCCCCCCTGGGGGGATGGCTGCATTTGGGAGGTCTCRCTTGTGTCCACATTCGTGGTCTTCTACATGGGTTCATATAGTAGGGAGAACCTCCCTTTTCAACCGAAGGAAACACTGCTGAAGGATTAAAATTGAGCAGGGCAGAGCTCTCACACCAGGTTCCTGTGAGCTGATATTATGGGGTATTTTGACCCATCTTTGCCACCAAACCCTTTGCTGAGCTTTCCCCTCAACTGACTCCTGTAGGGCGAGAGAGGTGGCGCAGGAGACCTCGGCCAGCAAGGTGACGAGGGCTTCAAGGTGCGTCAAGGGCTTTGGCTTTCCCTCCCTCCCCTCGTTCCACTTGCCATCCCACGTGATGCCCCTTCCCTTTCTGCCAGGGCAAGCCGGGACCCCCCGGCATCCTCGGGAGCCCAGGACCCAAGGGAGCGCAGGTAACCGAGGTCCAGAGGGCCATGGGAGGCTCGTGGGGGTGGATGTGCCAGAGGCATCAGGTCTGCACTGGCACACACGGCCCAAATGCCCTGCAGCTTTGCTGGGAAGACTTAGACATTCTGTAGGGCATTTGGGGCACAGACGGGGCAATTTCCTTTGCCCGTTCTTGCAAAATACATTAGCAAAGAGGGAACTGGGGAGCAGCCTGCTTGGTATCGGGCAAAACGCTGGGAGATGCCACTGCTCCCAGTAGGGACTTGGCTGCCCTGTGACCTGCGCTCGTGTCCTTGCAGGGCAACAACGGTGCCCCAGGTCCCTGGGGACTCCCGGGGCTCCCTGGGAAGCCGGTAAGTCCTTTGCTCTCCTGCCTTGGTCAGGGATGGAGAGTGGCCGCTTGTGCGCGTCAAGGTGCCTGTGCACGGCGGGTTCACTGCGCCTGCAGCCACGACCCAGCATTTAAGAGGGTGAGAGAGGATTAGTCTCTAATCGGATCTGATGGCAGTGTCCCTTCTTTGTCTCTGCAGGGCTTGTCGGGACAGAAGGTAGGTAGGACGGAGCGTCTTAAGCTGGTGCAGGACACAGGGACCGGTGTTACCATGAGGATCCTCGTGGTGCCTCTGCTGTCCCCAGCTGTATGGGGACAATGTGGCATCTCCCATGGTCGTGTTTTTCCCTCCTGTCTCCCATTTGTCACAGGGGCTGAAAGGCTTTGCGGGCCAGCCGGGAGCCAGGGGCAAGCAGGGCCCTCCGGTGAGCAGCATCTGGCAGCTGCAGGAGCCGGGGGAGGCCCCAGGATGGCCTGGGGCAGTGGCTGATGCCACCCATGTTGTCCTTGTCCCCCAGGGTCCTGCCGGCCGGCCTGGTCCCCGCGGGCCAGCACTGAACCTGTCTGCAGAGGAGCTGCAGGTGAGCGGCGGGGGTCCGGGCACGGCCGCAGGGCGCCGGCGCTCAGCTCTGCCCCCCTGTTTCAGCGCCAGCTTCATCCCTTGGCCCGCCTGGACCACGCGCTGCTGTGGGCGCTCCTGGCCACCCTGAGGCGCGAGCTGGCAGCGCTCACGGAGCATCCCGACGGCAGCCGGGAAAGGCCGGCGGCCACCTGCAAGGAGCTGCTGCTGGCCCGGCCCCAGCTGCCTGACGGTACTGGGGACACTGGGGAGCCTGGGCAGTGCCAGGGCTGCCCGCATGCACAGGGGACAAGGGGACACTCAGCACAGTGCCGGGGGACCAGAGGGCAGCCCTGGCACGGTGGGGTCTGTGCTGGGAGCAGCCCTTGGTCACAGGGAGGGGATGGATGCGGGTCCGGGCCGGCAGCCCTCGCGGGCATGGCCGGGGCTGGGAACGTGTCCTGCCTCCCCACAGGGCGCTACTACGTCGACCCCAACCAAGGCAGCCCCCGGGACGCCCTGCCGGCCTTCTGCAACTTCACAGCGGGCGGGGAGACCTGCATCGCCCCCGTGCAGAACCAGGTAGGGATGGGGGCCTGGRACAGGGGAGGGTGCCAAGGGCCGGGCGCACGCGGCAGCTCAGCTGGCACTTTGGATGTCAATGGGCACAGCAGAGGGTGYCCAGGGCTGCACCCCGTGCTGTGGCCATGAGCAGCAGTGGCCACCGCAGTGCGGCAGGGCTCGGCACAGCCGCCACGGGCCTCCTGCTGTCCCCGTGTCCCCAGGTCCCCATCCAGGCCTGGCTACGCTCCTACACTGCCTCGGGCACCTTCGAGTGGTTCAGCACCCTGCCCGGGGGCTTCCCGGTGAGTGTCCAGCGGTGCCGGGCTGGCCGAGGGACACGGAGCTGCTGGCACTGGGTGTCCTGTGCCCACCAGCACTGCACGGGGAGGACACTTGCGAGGGGAGGGATCCCTGAGCACCCCATGGGATCCCTGAGCACCCCATGGCCACTGTCAGCTGAGGGTCTGGCACATGGGGTACCTGGTCCTGCTGGCCTCGACTGCCCCGCACGGGGGCAACCTGGGGTTTTGCAGCGTGGACCCCGAGCAGGGGCTGGGCTGGGGGCTGCGAGCGCCCTGGCGCCYGCAGCAGCGGCTCCTGTGCTCCCCTCCCGTGCTCCCCTCTTTGCAGCTGGAGTACGAGGGYGCCAGCGCGGTGCAGCTGCGGTTCCTGAGGCTGCGCAGCAGCCGGGCCGCCCAGCAGGTCTCCTACGCATGCCGGCCCCGCTGGGCGCGCGGCCAGCGCCAGCCGGACAAGGCCGTGCAGTTCCTGGCGGACTCACGGGAGTGGCGCTACACGGCCTCGCTGCCGGGCTGCGTGGTGAGCGGGGTCCCTGTGCGCTCCTCTCCGTGTGTGCAGCTCCCCCGGGAGAGGGAAGAGTGTCGCCCTGGGGGAGCCGGGTTGCTCCCAGACTGGGGCAGCAGGTGGGATAGAGCTCTGGGGGAGGCTGTGGGAAGTGGGCAATGGGAGGCTCAGCCCTGACACCAAGGGTTTTAGGGACTAACGTGGGCAGCCAAGATGCATCCTTCGGGTCAGCTACCAGCATCCCRTGCCCAGCCTTGCCTTGTGGCCAGCCTGAGGCGAGACCCGGCCCAGACCCAGGGTTTCAGTGCTCCTCAGTGCCCCTCTGCCTCCGTTTCAGCTGGATAACGACTCATCCCTCACCGACACCATCTTCCACTTTGCCACGGAGGAGCTGGCCCTGCTGCCCCTGCGTGACCTGGCCGTGTTCCACAACGGCGACGCCTCGCACCACTTTGGTTTCACCGTGGGGCCTGTTTGCTTCAGCTGAACCCCGAGGCTCCCAGCGCCGTGGTCCCCTGGGCTGGCTGCTTCCCGGGGGAAGGAGCGGGGCTGCTCCAGCCTGTGTTCCGGAGCCGCTGCTTTTCTGCCTGGGAGCCGTGTTTATAGCTGCAGTATTCAATGGACTCCTCTAGAAGAATATTGTTTACAAAAGCTGGTTTTGTGTAAGTTATATAAATATATATTATGTGTGTATGTGAAAAGCTGCTGCTTTATTGATGGGCAGAGAACAGTTGCATCCCTGCACCTACCACAAGCTTGTTAGTAAAAGGGATCGARGGCACTGCCAGCCTGGGCAAGGCTCCTACCTTGCCCGGATGTTTGGATGCCCAGATGTTCTGGTTCCCACTGCAAGGTGGTGCTGGAGCCCTTGAACAGCCCCCCAGCACCTCAGTCCCATCCCCTTCATGGCAGCCCCTGCCTGGCCCTGCCCCTCGCCTCTCCCTTGGGTGCTGGCCAGGGCTCTCTGACGCTCCRGCTGGTGCTGCCCCCAGGAGCAGGAGGGAGAGGGGAGATGTGTCCGGGAGAGCAGGGGGACACGGCTCCCAGGCCCACAGCCACTCCCATTTTCTCTATTTATTTGCGTAGGTCGGTGCCGCTCGGGAGTGGAGGACAGGAACGGCAGGGACAGGAAAAGCAGGGATAGGAGCGTGTCTGGCAGCTTTGGGGCGTGAGCAGGGACCTCCCTATGAAGCCTGGGGCAGCCCCCGCTTGGCAGGTGTCTGAGYGGGAGGCAGGCGCTGCACCCCGAGCGGAGCCCACGCAGGGACACGTGGCCATGGGGACACGTCTGTGCACGGCAGCGTGGGCGTGGGCATCGCACGGGCTGGTGCAGGCCTGTTGTGTGGGGCAAGGTGTGCCCAGCAGGACATRTGGCCGGGTGGGGACTGCAGTGCAGAGGCGTGCGCGTGGTGTGTGTGCATGGCAGTGCACGTGTGCGTATGGCAGTGCAGGTGTGTGCGCATATGCGCATGGCATTGCACAGTGCGTGCAACAGTGTGCAAGGCAGCGCCCGGTGCGTGCACGCGACACGTGCGTGGCGGT